GCTGGCTCTGGCGACCGAACTGGAGGCAGAGGATGCGACGGTCGAGGCGATAGTGGGCGCGCTGCTGGCGGCGCAAGACGAGGGAGGAGTCGGCGAACTAGCCGAAGCAATGCGCCAACAGACCTTGGAGCCGAGCCCGAGCGAGAACGAGAGCGAGTCGGAGACAGAGGATGACGACGACGAAGACGACGGCGACGACGGTGACGAAGATGGCGGCGACGACGGTGACGAAGATGGCGGCGACGACGGTGACGAAGATGGCGGCGACGACGGTGACGAAGATGGCGGCGACGACGGTGACGAAGATGGCGGCGACGACGGTGACGAAGATGGCGGCGACGACGGTGACGAAGATAGCGGCGCAGAGGGGGAGCGGGGTCAAGAGCCCACACGCGCCCAGAAGCGCCGGCCTTCGCAAAGCCCGGACGAGACCCCGTCGCCGGCTAGGGGAGCAAAGGGTGGACGGAAGCGGCGTACCAAGCGCAGCAAGGCGACGGTGATCGAGGACAGCCAGGAGGACGACGCGGCTGCGATGTAGGGCAGGGACGGGAACGGGAGGAAGATGTCGGCCATGTATGAATAAAGTCTGCATGTATAGATTAGGACGAGTGCACACAACACACGACTGCACCGCGCAAGCAATGGGAAAGGGGGGAGAGTGCACGAGACTGGACGCACCAGACAACATAGGACGAGTGCACCACAATGGATGCACCGCTAGCATTGAGAATGAAAAGATGGCAAGACTTTTGTCGCCAGTAAGAAGCAACAAGACTATTCGCAAGTGACACACACAGAACACGGGAAGTAATAGTAGACAATAGTAAAGAAGAGAAAGAAAAAAAAGGGGGCAGCATAAAAAGAGGAAAAGGCAGTACAATACGTGCGGGCCAACAACAGTCTGGCTTAATCGGGCAGCCAGACTAGAGCGTAGAACAGGCCGTATGCCAGCTGCAGGAACGGGTCGGGAATGTGCTCGACGAAGAGGCGGTAAAGGAAAAGGGGTCGCGGAAGCGGTCGCGGTCACAGTCGGCAGCGGTAAAGGAGGCGATAAAGCGAACAGAACAGTCTGTGCTTTTCTTACTGAATACAAGGTTTTGATTAGTTGGCAGCTGTGCGGCCCATCAAAGATATCATAGTCTGTGCTTTTCTCACTGAATACAGTCTGTGCTTTTCTCATTAAATACAGAATCTCACTGAATACACTCTGTGCTTTTCTCACTGAATATAAGATTTTGTTAGGTTAACAGCTATGCAACCCATTTAAAAATATTATGGTCTGTGCTTTTCTTACTAAAAACAAATGCACAATCGGCCTACTCAAGGTCGGCAGACGCTAAGTACAGGCACAGGTGGGAACAGAAAGCGCAGCGATGTGGGAGTTCCTAAGCACTAAGGGGTGTCGGCGAACGGTGCTTGGAGCGTTTATGGACGGGTTGGAGGGCGTGGTGTGTAATGACATACAAGGATCAGTGCTTTGTGACCATTGCGAGCAGAAGAGGGACGAGATGGACAGCAACCGATGGATAGCAGAGCGAATGGAAGAGGGGCGGATAGAGGAGTGGTTATGGGGTTGGCTGACCGAGATGAAGGGGAACGATTGTGTGCTATGCATAGTTCAAGATGCATACACGGAGGAGGATAAGGATCAGCTTGATCGTTACGAAGAGCGGTGGAACAAGTGGCAGACCGACCACCAGTTGGCAGGAAGGTGCAGGCACGTGGCAGGGATTAAGGTAGAAGATGCAAAGAGGCAAGTTGTGTTTCCAGATCTGGCTTGTTGCCAGCAATGCAAGCTTCCACTAGACTGGTGCGATGCAAGGGAGGAGTGCGATTTAGAGGACTGGGTAACGGGGGTGGTGTTGCTGCCAATGGTAGAGGAATGGGCATCGAAGGTAGCCGAGGGCTTAAGCGGACAGAGGTTTGCGTTAAGCAAGATGGAGGATTACTATAGATGGTTAGGGAAGGAGCGAGAGTTTTACGGGCGGCAAGGGACAAATATGCTTTGGTTATAAGGGGAGTTGTTAAAGAATGTTTGGGATAATAAGCAAAGAGAGAGAGGAAGAGGAATAGTAAGAGTAGAAGGAGTAATAGTAAGAGTG